CCTGGCCAGACGGTGGTACCATCGGTCCTGGCACCGGGCGGTCTCCACTTGCGGGTCGCATTGGCTGACCTTGAGAGGAACGAGGGGAAGAAAGAGCAGCTCTGGAACCCGCTGTAGGGAAAAAACAAAACAAAAAACAAAAAAACAATCAGGTCGTCTCGTTACAATTCTGTAAATAAAAACAATCAGGGTTTTTTCCTTGATACATCTCTGTCAAAAAAACATCCAGTTTTTCTTTATATAAACCTCTGTAAAAAATAATCATGTTTTTTTATTTACACCTCTGGTACCTGGTGGAGGGAGGTGGGGGGGGGGGACAATCAGACTACTCTATCGTTTTTAACAGAGATGATGGTCTCATGAAGATAAAAGAACTCCAGATCACTTTATCAGGAGAGTCACCTCTGTGGGAAAAGATAAGAGTTTTTTAAATCTTTTATCTTCAGAGGAGAGAAAAGGATGACAGATGTTTGATAGGAAAGAACAAGTAGAGATAAAGATGACAGATGTTTGATAGGAAAGAACAAGCAGAGATAAAGATGACAGATATTTGATAGGAAAGAACAAGCAGAGATATGGATGACAGATGTTTGATAGGAAAGAAGGAGAAGGAGAGATAAGGATGACAGATGTTTGATAGGAAAGAAGGAGAAGGAGAGATAAGGACGATAGATGGTCGCTTTTAAGGACAAGCTGGTTAACCCTGATTTCAGGGGTTTTCAGAAATCTAAATCTATACCAAAAGAGGGCATTACCTTACCTGTAGGAGAAGTTTGGTTTCATTGGTGTGTATATCTTTTTGGTTATAGAGAAAACCCTCCTTGTTTTTTAAAGACATATTTCACGGATCTAAATAATTTACCTTCAATGTTCTCAAAACAGCATTTTTCGGAATAACCCCCTTATGCTTAAAAGCGACCAGACATTTGATAGTAAAGAAGGAGCAGACCAAAGCAGAGCACCCGCCAACCACCCACTGACCTGTATGGTCGTAGTGTCCTCCCGGGGAATCTTTGCTGGTGGGTGTGGGTGGTGCTACGTTGATCTGAATGTTGGCGTAGTTCGACTCTCCGGGGTACCCAGCCGGACCTGCAAAAATAAAGATAAATATATAAATAAATAAATTTTGTAATGAATAAATAAATACAAATAATTTTAATGTAGCCGTTTTTGCACCCTCATCGACACAATTAAGATCATGATGGTTTCTGCCCCTGTTTGTCAGTGTCAACCCACGCAGAGAGAGATACAACGTCCCAGCAAAAAGACTACGAAACTTGATAAAAATTCACTCTGACAAAGGAATTGAACTTGGTCTCCTGGGTGTGACAGCAACAACCTCACTGTGACAGCAACAACAGCAACTACAGCAACAACAACAACGACAACAACATACCACCAGACACAGACTGATAGTCCGGAGGCCTGTAGTCATCTGTCCCCATGTAGCACCCATTCAACAACAACAACAACAACAACAACAGCAACAACAACAACAACATACCACCAGACACAGACTGATAGTCCGGAGGCCTGTAGTCATCTGTCCCCATGTAGCACCCATTCAACAACAACAACAACAACAACAGCAACAACAACAGCAACAACAACATACCATCAGACACAGACTGATAGTCCGGAGGTCTGTAGTCATCTGTCCTCATGTAGCGCGCCTCTCCCCCGTAGATGTTCCCATACAAGTGACCGTCTTCCTCTGCATATGCATGAGGTGGAGCCGGGGGAGGTGGGGGAGGGAAGTCGTCCTCCGGGTCGTAGCTGTAGCCCTTGGGGATGTTGTCTGGGGGCGGCGGCGGTGGGTAGCCGCTTGGGTCATCCGGGTAGTGGTCAATATTGACTTGACGGTAGCTTTGGCCGCCTGGTCAGGGAGAAACATACACACTTAAATTTTATAGAAGGAGCACGCTTAGAAAAGGGACACGCTTAGAGAAGTGGTACACACTTAGATAGGAGGTACACACTGAGAAGTCAAACAGGAG